TTTTTTTTGGTCCAGTCGTGGGGCCTGAACTCTGGGCCTGGGCACTGTCCCTCAGCTCTTCAGCTCAAGGCTAGCGCTCTACCTCTTGAGCCACAATGCCACTTCTGGCTTTTTGCTTATGTGGTGCAGAGGAATCGAACCCAGGCCTCAGGCATGCAAGGCAAGCGCTCTACCACTGAGCCACTTTCCCAGCCCCTCCATGAAACTCTTATCTCCAATAAACCACCAGAAAAACAAAAATGAAAAAACAGAAGTGGCACTGTGGCTCAAGTGGTAGAGTGCTAGTTTTGAGCAAAAGAAGCTCAGGGACAGTGCTCAAGCCCCAGGCCCAGGGGAGAAAAAGAATTTGACAATAACACTTGTGGCCCTCTCTTTGACAAGAATACACACGGAGCAGCCAGGGCCAGCGTCTCCCAGGATGCAGGGTGGCACCGGCTCTCTGGGCATGCCTTCCCCTCCTACCCCACTCCCCTTGTCCGAAGTGCTCGGGGCCTCCTGCCCATCCAGCCCAGGGCAGTGACCACAGGTCCCTGGTCCGAGCCACTCACCAATGGGAAGTCGTCCGGGTCAATCCAGAGGACGCTCAAGGCGGGGTTGTCCGTATTGTCCCGGGCCACCTGTTTGAGGATCTCCAGGAACTCGTACCCATCTGGAGAAGGGGAAGGAGGGTCAAGCGGCTCGAGTGTGCGTGTTTCCTGAGGGGTTCGCAGGTACTCTGATGCCCAGCCCCCCTTACTAGACTGCTCAGAAAAATATATCCCATGAGCACTGTGGGTCCCGAGCCCCTCGGACGCAACAGCAAGTCTCCACGGAGAAACAGAAAGATGCCTGGCACTGGTGGCTCACGCCTGTAATCCCAGCTGTTCAGGGGATGGCCGAGATCTGAGGATCCCAGCCTGAGCCAGTCTGAGCAGCCAAATCCAAAACTCTTACGTCCAATTAACAGCAAAAATCCAGAAACGGAGCTCGAGTGCTACAGAAGTGATTCAAGTGGTAGAGCACCAGCCCTGAGTGAAAAGCTCAGGGACCCTATGTTCAAGTTCTAGCACGGGCACAGAAAAAGGAAGGAAGGGAGGCAGAGAGGGAGGAGCTGGCGTCAAGAAACCTTGGAGGACAAGAAACATTCTTTGCCATGAACAAAAAATATTGCAAGAATATTGTATGTGTATGTGCACACACATCAGTACTGGAGCTTCAACTCAAGGCCTGGGCGCTGTCCCTTGGATTTTCATTCAAGGTTGGTGTTCTACTACTTGAGCCACAGCTCTACTTTGGGTTTTTGGTGGTTAATGGGTGGCAAGAGTCTCATGGACTTTCCTGCTCAGAGTGGCTTTGAACTGACATCCTCAGATCTCAGGCTCCTGGGTCTGTAGGATTCCAGACGTGAGCCACCAGCGCCTGGGACCAATGCTCAACAGCGCCCTCTAATGCTCAGGACCACCTTCCCACCCCTCCCCACCCCTGCTAGAACACCAACAAGAGTTTAGGTCCTCTTAGGTCCCTGAGAATAACTGCTGCGTGTGTGTGCGCGTGTGTATGCCTGTGTACATATGAGGAACACACCCGTGTCTGCAGGTGGCTCTGATGATGTCCTGTGGGTAGGATGGAGAACCACAGGGCACAGGGCACGGACCATTAGGCCTTATTTTTTGTTTTGTTTTGTTTTTTGTGCCAATGCTGGGGTTTAAACTTGGGGCCTAGATGCTGTCCCTTAGCTTTTATGATCATGGTTGGCACTCTACTAGTTGAGCCACAGACTCTATGCACAGCTTTGTGGTGGTTAATGGGAGAGCCCCGGCTACACACAGACAAAAGCCAAGTCAGGACTTGGTTTCCCCAGCCCCAGAGCACTGAGCAGTGAGGCCCGCCCTGCCCAGGGTTGGAAGCTGGCAACCTGCTGAGCTCCGCCCTCCTCCACCACCCCCATGGCTCTGCTCCCAGCCTCAGTCCCCAGCTCTGGCTCTTTGGGGCACAGCAGGAGCTGGGCCCAGGGGTATTTGTGCAGGGAGAGGGAGGGAGACGTTCCAGAGGCCTGATTCACGGCCACACCAACCTCCCCAAACAGGTTTCTGCGGCTTTGGGGAGGGAGGGGGGCCACATGCTCTATTGTTCCAGGGCCCCTCCTGTCCCGGACCCCGGGAGCCCCGCCAGCTACCAGGGCGGACTCCAGTCTCTGTTCACACAACTCGGGTCCACTGTGCGTGATCGCAGCCTGTAAGCCTCAGGCACAGGCCTCCAGGAGACTTTCTCCTCCATGGTAAAGAGGTGGGCAGAACCTGAGGAAAGAAGCCACAGCGGCCTTCCTTCTCTCTGAGTGTTGGTTGTGGAAAGGCCTAGCTCCCCTGGGGGAGGAGGCCTGGCACCTGGATGGACATTCAAGGGATTGAATGAAGACAGAACATGGCGGAAACTCAGAGACAAGACAGGCCATGGAACATTATTCAGCCCTGAAAAGGAGCGAGCCTCTGATCCATGCTGTGTAATGGATAAACCATGACACGGAAGGGCACGCAGCGTGAGCTTGCGTGATTCCCACCTACACGAATGTCCCAATGGCTGTATCCACCAAGAGTGGGGGAGGGCATGTGCCGGAACTCCCCCGAGAAAAGCCCAGACAAGCCGGATTTCGGTGGGTAAGTGGGTTGCCTCTCTCACCATCTACCCCTGGAGCATGCATGGGTCATGCACCATGGGAATTCAGGGGACCTGTGTCCCCCTGGAGGCCAAGCTCCTGGGCATTTCCTGGCCTCCACCAGTGCTTGCTCTAGGAGAGACACAGAGGCCCTGACAAAGGCCATATCTGCCGCAGCCACAGCTAGCGGCACTGCACAGCCAGCCCGGAGGTCCCCTGAGTCCCCATTCCTCCCCTGAGTCCCCGTTCCTCCAGACCTGCCCAGCCAGACTCGGGGGGTGGGGCACTGCTAGCCTTTGGAGTTCCTGCCCCCATGCTCACAGCCAAGGCCCCACTCTGTGGGGCACCACACCTGTCTGGGGGCAAAGGCTGTCCCTCGTGACTGTGTGTCACCCCCGCATCGACAGCTCTGCTCTGCCTGGGCTAAAGAGTGAACCAGGAAGCCTGTGCAAGATGCAGAAGTAGAACGAAGCCCCTCGGCCATGTCCCCAACACCCTTTCCACTTTGCACAACCAACTGCTTATATATACACACCAAAGGATGCAACTCTATGTGTGTGTGAGTGTGTGTGTGAGTGTGCCGGCACAGGGACTTGAACTCAGGACCTCCCCCTCCAGCCAGGCTTTTTTTGTGTTCAAGGCTGGTGCTCTACCACTGGAGCCACAGCTCCTGTTCCTCAATTCGCGTTATCCTAAAGTAGGAGTTTGGCATATACATCCACGTGCTTGATCACAAAGCTCATAAGTGAACGTTTGCACAACCGGCAGATCATATCCACACACCCCAGGGGCTGGGTTGCTTTTGTGCCTGCTCAGCTCAGTGTTTGAGGCTCCAGCACCTCCTCACCCTGTCTTCCCTTAGCTGTGAGCACAGACACCACAGGGGCAGGGGTGGTGGGATGCCAGTATCTCTGGTTGCACTGTAGAAGGAAGGGAGAGGGAAAGGGGAGAGCAAAGGAAGGTGAGTAGTTTGTGTGTGTGTGTGTGTGTGTGTGTGTGTGTGTGTGTGTGTAGTAGGGCTTGAACTCAGGGGTTTTACTCAAGGATGGAACTCTACCACTTGAGCCACAGCTCCACCTCCAGCTTTTCGCTGGTTAATTGGACATAAGCATCTCATAGGCTTTGCTGCCTAGGCTGGCATTGAACCAGGATCTTCAGATCTCAGCCTCGTGAGTAGCCAGCACAACAGACGTGAGCCCTGCCCAGGGTTTGGGAGCTCTTGTGAAAGGCCAGGCGGCCGGGTGCCTACCGGGGTCGCTCTTCTCCGCAAAGGCCACGATGTGGATCCCATTCAAGTTGTCTTCCTGCGGGAAATGAGAACGGAAATTT